CATAAAAAATTCCATCTGTAGTGATGGTATAGGTATATAAATCCTGCTCCAGTGGAAGTGAGCCAGAACCATCATTACCTATACTACTCATGTGCAATGACTTCATGCTCAAGTATTGCCTTTTCATATTTTTCAGGTTTTTTTGTTTCTTGTGTTTCCATGGAAATATTTTTTGAATTTCTGTAGAGTCTTTCTACTATGCATATTGCTGCTGATTGTTTATCACTGGAATATCTACTTGCACAATACAATCTATAATCCAAACTGCTGTTACAAGTTCAATGACCCGTGAAGATCCGGGGTAGAATAGGTCTTCAGCAACCTATTCTTGCTTAAAAGGCGAGTATACTTGTCATAAGAGGCAACTTTAGGGATCAGGTGGTCAGGCTCGCTGACTTGGTTGATACATGTCATCGTATCCCAATTGCGTGGATCGATGTTCATGATGTCAATCACTGGAATGTCTGATCCAGATTCGATTATTTACAAACTGCCGTCATATAGCTGGAATATTGCCGAGTGCGGTGTTAAACAACAAACAAACAACAAGCTCAATAGTCTTATCTGTCATAAAGAGTCAACATGGCATCAGAATCTGTACTAGTATTTATTTGCTATTATTGTTTTGTTTTTTCATTTGCAAACACATTTCTAGTTTTACCTTAACTGAAAAAAGTATGGGGGAAACTGCTTTAGTTGTACCTGGTTTACCAAGCCATACTTCTGTTAGAAAATTACATTTGGAAACTTCTTGGGAGCTGCTATCAGAAGTAAATTGTGTTTATTTTATGAAAGAGAAACCATCTCTCAATTTAAATCCTGTTTAAGGACAGATAAATCTACAGTTCCACCGTATTTCTCATATGGTCTCAGAAAAATTAACATTATACATGCAAAATAAAGACATGGTGATGGTGAGTTTTAGAAAAAGATTTATTAATGTGGTATAAACGAGGTATAAAAATGTTGAAAATTCATATAAGTTTTTTATTGAATGTCCATTTTTTTAAATTAGCTAGAAACGAACTGATGTGCTCACCATTGTTAATTGTGAAAGATACTTTTGATGTTAAAATCATTGAAAGTACTGTATTCATGATTGTAACATCTTGCATGGCAGTTGACTATATCTCAATTTACAGCATATGTATGAATAGGTACTAAATTATTTCTAACTAGATGTTGGCGTCATGGGGATTCTCAGTACCTTGTTACAACATGCACATGATTAAGCATCAACCATGCCCCAAGTAGGGATCAGTATATCCTTCATTACCCAACTGCACTGTCCCAGCCGTGAGACGTATATTATGTACTGGCTACATTGGCTGCATGTTGTCATGTGTACAAGACTGAGACTCAGTCTAGCCTGTGCTGTCAGGATCCATTGTCCACCTTGGCCTGTCCTAACATGGGCAGTGGCAGTTGACTACACATGTATTTAACTATTTGTTTGCTAATGACTGCAGGGAACGTTATCAACCATGAAGTGATGGATAACACTGGCCAAGATACAAAGTTAATGATAATTAACTGAAGATTCTCAAAAACATGAGAAACAATGTACCCTAAATATCTATCTTGACTAAATAGTGTAAAACTCAACTTGTGAACATGAAAGTCAATATATTAGTACTCAGGAATTTGAGTTGAGTTTATGGTGACACACAACATTTGCTATGACATGTATGAGTACGTACCTTAGTGTCTTTTATACACTGCATCTAGTCTTTATTTATTGTTAAGTATGTTTCTTACAGTTACAGATTCACGTAATTGGACTATGGTAGTTATATTTAGAATGCAAGGGCAGTAACTTGCACTGCACACATCATCTGCGCATTGCGATGCGCATGTTCCTTAGTGGTTTTCGTTCCCAATCGCCATTGTTCTGTTGACATCGTAAGCTACGTTAATCGACTTGACACACTCACTACGTCAGTTTCGTTGTTGTTAGTCGCCTGGAACGATCTTTTCTTGTCATAGATCATTTTCATCAAATGATCGTCACGTCATGGCTACTCGCCGTCCAAAGAGACATCGAGGTAGAAATAGGTCATTGTTACACACTACGGACGACATAGAGATCCAACATGGCAGCCCTGCTACTTCTGACCGCGAGAATCAAACATCTATCGACAGCGCGCAATCTGTAGACGCAGAGACTTTCCGTGCGAGGTATCACCACGAAAATCCGGGGATTTACGACGGAGATCCCAGGAACTGGTATGTGTCCCAGCTGAGAGCACGGACATCGGTTTACAACATCTTCCCCCGAGTCTCACCAAAGCACAACTTCTGGCGATTTATTTACGCAACCGCCCATCAGAGTCGTCACATGGACAGTCAGGAGAGCCTGAATCATCGGATGCCACTGAGGTTCACAGGACACACTTGCCCAGTAGGACTGTCTCCTCCAGTGCCACCATTACCTCAGCTGACCACAATGTGCCCAACTTGTGTGTGTCTGACCTTCAAGGTTTAACCATGACCGTCAATCAACTGGTTGCATCAGTGGCTGCACTAGCAGAGAAGGTCAATTCAACAACCGACAATGCCAATCACACTGTGTCTTCAAATACCATAGACAGTCAGTTTTCTCTGCAGACTGCCTTACATGACAGAGTTCAACATGGTCAAGGGCCACCAGGCTTCTCCACCTCACATCCCTTCACCCTCGATACTGTTTATGACAACACAGCCTCAAGCACTACCCATCATGTTACAGGTAATTTTGGCTTAGACCCTAATTCCCTTCCCCGTGTAGATAGTGTCTGCCAGTTTACGTCAGCACATAGTGGAAGGTAGAGATGTCAACCTAGCACTGCTACTAGTTCCAGATGATATACCCACTAACCCTCGTACCATTGAACTGGGGAATGGTGAATTACGACTTAAACCAGCCGGAGATCCCAGACTACAGAAAACCCTCAGTCTTAAACACTTCATTACTGCTTTCAATCGCTACAAGAGAATTATGTTGACCCGATGGCCTCAGAGAAGTGTAGAATTGGACAGATATCTTGATCTTATTTTGAGCCTTAGCAACGAAGGTGACGAAAGTGATTTCTACACCTACCATAAGATGTTTTCAGCCAAAGCCGCTTCAGCTCTTGTGCAGTCCAATGTCAAAGTAGATTGGAGCAAGTTGGATCAAGAGTTATACCTAAGAATTTTCAATTCTGACAAGGCTAATAGGTGTCAACACTGTCATGGAATCAACCACCCCACAGAATTTTGCCCTTTAGCCATCCACCAGGCTAGTGCCAACAGACGAGATAAGAATCTTATATGTCCAATCGTAGCCAAGCCCGACCTCGAAACCAAGATGCTCAAGGTCGTCAAATTGTGTTTCATGAAGGACGTCCAGTGTGCAATAATTTCAACTACGAATTGTGTGTACGTCCTAACTGTAGATTTGCTCATGTCTGTGCTGGATGTCAGAAGAATCATGCACTCAAGAAGTGTTCCAAGACATCAGACAAATCAACACGTTCCAAGTGACTACCCCTCAATGCAGTCATATCTCCAATTAAGGTAGACATTTTACAGCAACAACTGGGAAAACATCCTGATAAAAATTTCGTGCAAGAACTGGATGGGGATATCAGATGGGTATTTTACAGGCATAGATCACCCCCCTACTAGGACATATGAGTGCAAGAATTTGTTATCCACCAGAGGACGTAAGAAGTCTGCAGCTGTCGACACTCTTCTGCAACAGGAACAAGACAGGGGCTATCTCATTGGTCCGTTTGATATATCACCCTTCCCAATTCACCGCATCAACCCCATTGGACTGGTCGAAGGAAAGTATTCCAGAAAGCAGAGACTGATTGTGGGTATGTTGGCTCCTCACGACGATTGTGTGAATCCCAGCCTCAATTCCTTGATCGACAAGGACAAGTATTCCTTGTCATATGTGACAGTGGATGATGCCATCAATGTCATCAAACAACTTGGGCCAGGATCTGTTATGTGTAAAACTGACATCACAGATGCTTTTAAACTTATACCCATCCACCCTGACCTGTGGCATCTTCACGGTATCAAATGGCGCCAACAGTTTTATTACTTCACTAGACTAGTGTTTGGATGTAGGTCCAGTCCTAAAATATTTGATCAGTTGTCCATAGCCATATGCTGGATAGCCCAAAACTGTTACCAGATACCACTCATTCTTCATCTGTTGGATTATTATGAACAATCTGCTCACTATGTTTCATGACTTAGACATTCCCTTATCTAAAGCTAAGACGGCTGGTCCTTCGGAATGCCTAGAATATCTTGGCATCACCCTGGATTCTTCTTGGATGGAGGCCCGCCTGCCTACGGAGAAAGTACAGAGAATTGTCACCTTGATCGACCATTTAATCAAGAAAATCCATGTGACTAAGAGGGATCTCTTAGTGATTCTGGGACACATGAACTTTGCCATGCGCATCATTAGACCAGGCAGAAGTTTTATTGGATACCTATTAGGGGTAGCTCACTCTGTTTCCAACCTACGGGACATTGTGCATCTCTCAGCTGACTGCCTGCTGGATTTCCAAATGCGGCGCTACTTTCTTCAAAATTGGAATGGTGTCTCCATGTTTATTACAGACACTATCAACTCACCTGATTTTCAGTTGTACACAGACGCTGCAGCATCTCTTGGATATGGTAGTTTCTTCCAAGGCAGATGGTTTTCATCCACCTGGTCCACAGAACTGATTAGTTTGGCAGGAGAAAACTTGTCAATAGCACTCATGGAGTTATTTCCCATTGTGACAGCTGCCCATTTATGGGGACCCATGTGGTTTAATAAGTGTGTGTGTTTCCACTGTGTCAACCAGGCCACTGTTGTTATCATCAACAAAGGCAGATCCCCTATCCCTCTTATCATGCGTTTTATGAGACAATTAACTTTACATGCTATTCAATGGAATTATGTGTTTTGTGCTAAACATGTTCCTGGTGTGGATAATGCTATAAGCGATGCTCTCTCACGATTGCAGATAGCCAGATTTCGTCACCTAGCACCAGATGCAGAGTGTCACCCAACCCCTTGTCCTCAGCTGACAGACCTGATGTACCCGTAACCCATGGAGGAACTATCGAGACAGACATGGAACTTTTGTGGTCATCAGCTGTGTCTACCAGAACATATCAAGTCTACCAATCAGGAGTTAACACATTTCTGACTTTCATGACTATGCAGGGGTTCGTGTGGATAACTACTCTACCTCCTATCTCGGAAGACATTCTCATTAGATTTGTGGCACACTGTTATCGTAGATTGTTGCTGCGATATTCTACCATTAAATCATACCTGTGTAGCATTCGGTTTAGGTATTTACAAGTGGGTTTACCTAACCCTTGGACATCCGATTTTTTAATTCGGTTGCAAACTATTGTGCAGGGGGTTAAGAGACATCAAGGGCTGTCCACATCACCTCGCTTGCCAATAACAACTCCTATCTTAACTAAGATGTGTATGGCTCTAAATCATGGTGTTTTTGATCATTACACCTGTGTACTACTGAAATCAGTGTGTTGTCTGGCTTTCTTCGGATTTCTCCGTTGCGGAGAATTTGCTTGTGACACTGACAAGTTTAATCCAGTTTACAATCTTACCCTTAGAGCTATGCAATTCTCCAGGGTCTCGGCTTCATTCACCTTGCTGTTGGCAGCGTCCAAGACAGATCCAGTCCGGAAAGGAGTCACCATCACCTATACAGCCACGGCAATTGTGTATGCCCTGTAGCTAGTATGCTAGCCTACCTCGTTCAACGCCATCGCTATGCCTTGCATAGTGCTGATCCTTTATTTGTTACTGTAGATGGCAAGGTATTATGCAGGACATATTTCATCGTGCAACTTAAGAAACTATTAAGACTGTGTGGTTATGATGACAATGCCTATAATGGTCATTCCTTTTGAATAGGAGCCAGTGCTAAAGTACCAGATCACCTCATACAAGTCCTTGGTCGGTGCTCATCTTCTTGTTACACCAGATATATACGTACACCTCAAGATGTTTTGTGGCGTGCTCAAAAAGATATGGCTTATCTTTGTTAACATTGGCTATAATACCCTTCTCCACATCGCCCAGTGTATATATTCATGTTAGAATTTATCTGTAAAACCTTTTCTTCAAGTGTAATGTATTATCATGATTATATAGCATATTTCTTGATTCCGATACACATGGTAGTTCACTACATATTCTTATGATTGTTGTTTGTTTCTCTTGATACAGGTTAGAAGATAGTTACCACCTTGGTTATAGGGCATACATTTGTTACGTCCTTGTACGACTATGACCAGTTTACATTCTGTGTAGTTATTTTGGGGGGATTCTCATTTAAAAATTAATCATAGACACCCACCTCCATCCCCTGCGCCACCAGTTCTGTGGTAATCAGATCTTGTCTACTTGGTATAACAACTGATAAACATGCATGTATAAGGCTTTATACTGGGGATTCCCATTCTTGTGTTAATATATTATCTTATTTAATAATATATCTCATCAATTACTTAAATACTCTGTCCATCTGCTTATATCCATTAACATTTCATTCCATGTGATTTCTTCTTATTATTTAATATTTGTCATGCTAACCTCTTTTGCCCAGCGCTTGGGTCCTATAATCCACTGTTGAAGGAGTTTCCCTCCATAGTTATGTATTTTCAAAATCACTATCTAATGCATTTTCCCTTTGCAGCTTTAATATGTAATCTACTGTCGAAGGCGTTTCCCTTCACAGCTTTATCTGTAATCCACTGTTGAAGGTGTTTCCCTTTGCAGCTATAATCTGTAATCTACTGTTGAAGGCGTTTCCCTTCACAGCCTTATCTGTAATCCACTGTTGCAGACGTTTCCCTTCACAGCTATTATCTGTAATCCACTGTTGTAGGCGTTTTCCTTCGCAGCTATTTTATCTGTAATCCACTGTTGAAGGCGTTTCCCTTCTCAGCTACAATCTGTAATCCACTGTTGAAGGCGTTTCCCTTCGCAGCTATGTAATCTGTAATCCACTGTTGAAGGCATTTCCCTTTGCAGCTATGTAATTTGTAATCTATTGTTGAAGGCGTTTCCCTTCCCAGCTATAATCTGTAATTCACCGTCGAAGGCGTTTCCCTTCGCAGCTTTGTAATCTGTAATCCATTGTTGAAGGCGTTTCCCTTCACACTCACAGCTATGTTATCTATAATCCACTGTTGAAGCATTTCCCTTCCACTGTTGGGCAGAGTATCCGCCGGTAGTTGCGGATATTCATGGCCCCAAAATGTTAGTATTTTCACCACTAGGCCTGGTCATCTCAGCGCTTGACACTACAGGGCGTTTCCCCTCAGGATGGGGTCGAGTGGTTTGCTGTATTACATAAGTAATGGGAATCCCCCAGCCCAAAAGAAATAAATCATTATTATTTGTATGTTGCTGTTCTGTTGTGTGTCAGTATAAACTAACATGACTACACTAATCGAATATCATGTTGCGATATCATATAGCCAATTGAACTTGGTGCAACTACAGTCATACTAGGACCACTATACTGCTATTCAGCTAAGTTAGCAATACCCTGCATAGCTTAGACAACAGTATTCTTAGCTACTCTTATATATCTAGTATAGCTGTCTGGCAACCAACATCCTAGAGTCTTAATCAAATGATCTGGTATTCCTGCTTCGGCGGCAGATGTGGCAGCACTGATGTGCAGAGAATGTCCATTGATGATATTCTATAACCAGGGTATTTTGGAAAAAGGGTTTTAATATTAACATAAAATGAGGTTTATAAATTTCTATAAGGTCCTAGGTTAATATACAAGGTTAAAATACAAGGTCTGATACGTAGGTGTCTTGAAAAGAGAAGTGGTCCTAAGGGAGTTTCTCCCTTCAGAAATTGTGGAGGATGTCCATATCAGAAGAACAATGACAGGGAAAGCGAAGCAGAAACAAAAAGTAACAATAGAACTGCAAGTAAGGAAGTGCGATAACCGCATAGGTATGTCGACGCTCTTGTTGACGGGGAATTAGCTTTTGGGGAGAAGATGGACAAAATCGACCGACATCACTGTCCCAGAATGTTTTATGCACAACATGTAAACAACAAACAACAAATACACAATGAGCGGAATACCTGCTCTGACAACACAAACACAGCGATGAGCGAACCTTCCAGCTCAGGCATAATTGAGGTGAGCGGAGCTCCAGCTCACCTCAGGACGTTTCCTAAGAGCGGCACATCCTGCTCGAGGTCGTCCCTACACCAGCACTCGGAATACCAAACTTGACTAACTCCGTGTAATGGTAACACATATATAGTAATGAACAACAATGGACAGACAAAGAGACAATGACGTTGATCTGGACATTGGACATATGGGCGTGATGAACCGACACAGTTCAGGGGATGATCACTTAAGGCAATAAATGCCATACTATAAAAAGCAGTAGTTAACGGGAAGTGATATGGTAGTCCAGGCTGACTGACAGTCAAAATACAATGAAATGTTGGTGAGGATTAACAACAGGGATTAGTGTCTTATAAATAGTGACAATTAAGTTATGGAGACAGGGTAATTAGCTACAGGGTAATTAGCCTTTGGAATCAAATGTACTTCAGACAATGGTTGTCGTAAATCAGTCGCTATGACAACTTCCCTCCGTTCCGTGAACCTTGGACCCCAAGCTTAAACGAGTACAAATTGATATGTGTGAACTTTTTCACAGACGGAAACAACAGTTCAAACATATATATTAATGAACAACAATGGACAGACAAAGAGACAATGACGTTGCTCTGGAGTTAGATGAGTTCTGGATATCGATGAAATACTTGTGCAATACATATACCAATCCAATGAAAGTGATCATCTAGCCAGTTTGATTTAGTGCTGGTTTGAAAACTAACCAAGTATTGAACACACAACGAAATCCCAAATATAACATATGTTACATTAACCAAGTAAACATAACATCTGAAACTTCATGGGAAATTCGTTGTGCACAAATTGAGCAGTGACTTCTCAGCAATGGTGATTGACCAAGCCCATTAGCAGGCTAATGCTGTCATCAAAGGAAACGGGGAAGCAATTGGTGTGACTGAAGATCCATCAGCGCTGAGAATGTGGATGGTAGCTGGTCCTGAAGTCAGTCACTTGGTTGCGCAGTATGGGGCAGCATCCGAAGCCAAAAAGGGTAATAAACAGTCCAGCCACCATGAGCAGACAGAACGAGCTCAAAAGGTGTTCCTTGAGAAAGTTGGAAAGCTCTCCCAGGTTATGACAGATCTGGGCAATCCTTTCCAGGAAGAGAGTTGGGACCTGCTTTCACTGGACGCAAAGGATATTGCTCACCACAGTGCAGCTAAATTGATTAGCATGCATTGTGAGAGCCAAGTTCCAGAAGTTCATGAAAGGACTCGAAGAAGAAGAATCTACTTTCTACGAACCAATCACGAAGAACCGAGTGGACTTCTTCCGACAGGTGCCAGAATATGTCAGCTCTTCAAAGCAGAATGTGCTGAAAGAGGACTGCCAGCTCTTCTCCAAGCTGTTCATTTCATGCCAGAGCAGAGAATGTGACCTTTGTAAATTTTTTATGTCTCAAAGAACCAGCCATTCCCTGCTTCCCTGAGTGATAGTGGGAAGTTCCACAGCTGTCAAAAATCACAGCTTGCAGCCATCCTTTAGTCGCTTGTTACAATCCCTGACACTGAACCAGAAGCAGATCATTGATGGTTCAGCACTGGTGAACACTCTGCCCCCACAGAGTTCAAAGACATTTGAAGACTATGCAGTATGTGATGTCCTCCCAACAATAGAAGCATACTCCACCAAGTACAAAAGAACAGACATCGTGTTTGGTGTCTACCAGTCATCGAGCCTGAAGGCTGAAACTAGGTTAAAGCGAGGACGTGGAGTCAGACGCAGGGTGACAAGCAAGGGCAAAATTCCGTCAAACTGGCAGAACTTTTTGAGAGACAATGACAACAAAACCGAGCTGTTCCAACTACCTGGCTAACAAAATTGCACAGATGTCTACACCAAACGTGGTCATCGTGACCAAAGAGGAAGATATGCTGTCAGCATCCACACTATCAGCCTAGATGATGTGGCTCCATGTAGTCACGAAGAAGCCGACACGAGGATCTTTGTGCATGCAAGGCATGCAGCAGTGGAGGGCAGCAAATTCCTCATGGTCAAAGCCAGCGACACAGATATTCTCGTCATAGCAGTAAGCGTTCTGCCAGCACTTCAGGAAATTGGTCTGCAGCAACTGTGGATTGCCTTTGGCCAAGGATGCAACCTGAGGTGGATCCCTGTACATGAGCTCTATCTCTCTATCGGGCTGGAGAAGAGCAGAGGAATTCTCTTCTTTCATGCCTTCACCGGCTGTGATGTTGTTTCGGCCTTCCTTGGTAAAGGGAAGAAGACAGCTTGGCAAACCTGGGATGTATGTCCAACGGCTTCTGATATCTTCAACAAACTCAGACAGTACCAACCAACAGTGGATGATGATGACCTGAAGATCTTGGAGAAGTTCGTTGTCATGATCTATGATAGATCCAGTACAGTTGAGGATGTTGATGATACCAGGCTGGACATGTTTGCAAGGAAACAGAGGCCATGCTAAGCCATTCCTCCTACTCCAGCAGCTCTACTGCAGCATGTGAAGCGTGCAAACTACCAGGTGGGCTGCATATGGAATCAATCAACAGTACGCCCGCCAGCCAACCGGAGTCCAGCTGAGTGGGGATGGACCAAGGAAGACGATCTGTGGCAGATCTGTTGGACCAATCTTTCACCTATTGCAGAGTGCTGTCAGCAGCTGACCAAGTGCAGATGCATGTCAGAGTGCTGTGGACGATGCAAATGCTACCGCTTTGGTCTTACCTACACAGCACTGTGCAACTGCAAGTGCCAGAATTAAGAGCTACCTGGTTTTAGGTTCAGTTCCAGCTAATCTAGTTCGGTGGCAAATACAAAGACAATGATGATACTTCCACAGAACTTTTCATGTAGTGATGACACGCCGATGTTGCCTATAACGAGGACACTGTATGGTGAACTGTATTTGACTTTCCCTGTTTTATGTTAGGACTATGTAAGTAGCAGAATTTTATTTCATGTCTCCAAAACGTACAAATAAGGTGAACGTTCTTTTTGTATTGATAAATCATTCAAAATAAAAAAATTGCAGCCATTTTCATGTATAAATGTTTACATTATTTGTTGGAAATGACACAAAGAAGCTCTGAATGAGTTTTATAGTTGTATTCCAGTGGGTGAAATTATGTGTCGTTAAATATGTGTTTTTGACAGAAATGGCAGCCATCTTGGAAAATGGCAGCCATTTTGAAACTTCAGATGGCTGATGGGATTTTTCAAATAAATGGTTCCAGGACGATAAACCTACAAATTTAGGTGCTTGTATCCACATTTGAAAGATGGTTACAGTTATCTGCAGGACTATTATCAGTTAGTTAGCAATTACCCCCAGTAAACAAAAATAACATCAAAATAAATGCCTCCCAACCCCAAACTTGTATGTGGCAGAACTTGACCTACGTCACGGTTACTCACACCATGCAGCTGTCAGTGGCTGACAATCTTGTGTTTACATTCTCCTTTGCTAGTTAAAAGAAGCAAGACGACAACCACGATCTACGATGTGGTTCAACATTAACCTGTAGATTTACTTGGAATGATTGAGCTTGCTGGTACAATATGATTACCAATGGAACCAAGTATGACTGAACAGCCGCTTTTTAGCCTGCAGACGAGCCGGGACATTTTGACACGAGGTAGGGCCTATCTCAGAATCTGCATGGTGTGACCTGTCAATTTCAAGATTTCATGGATTCCAGGCCAGAGTGTGAATGGAATGAGACATTCGTGGCCCAGACATAGTGGGTCGTGTATGATTTTCTTAAATGTGCATGTGTCCAAGGTAATTTTAAAGACGTTATCGACGGTAATTGTTGCTTTGCGCAATTGGAAGGTAGCAATTTGTGTACCTTTTCACCTGAACTACGGTAATCCCCTCGTTCATGGTGCTGACAGCCTGGGATGTGCAAGAGGTACAATGTCAGTACCCGAGGGCCTTGAACCTATTACCGTAGTTACTCCAACAAGCACAAAGAGTGATCTCTGTTTAACAGCTTTTATTCTCACTTTGTGTTGCCGGTCAACCCACTCTATTTGTCACTTAAATACGAGACTTCAGCCACAAAGCTTCAGTCTCAGTCGAAATGCTGGTGCCTAAGTTTGGTTTCTGTTTCGAAAGGTCGTGACAACAAGCCGAGAGCGGAACACCATTCCAGATGTATCCTCCACAGCCGCCCTCTCATCTGGGGGCTTTTGACCCTTTTCAAACCAGTACCTACGTCACAGTTCTACTCATTTTTCCATCTATCATTGGTCAACCA